TCAGCATACAAAGGATCGATTGATCGGTCGCTATCGTCTTCTAATCCTCGATGGGCACGAAAGTCACCACTCCGTCGACTTTGAGAAATATTGTGAGGAGAATCAGATTATTACGCTTTGTATGCCGCCTCATTCGTCTCACCTACTTCAGCCTCTTGATGTCGGGTGCTTTGGGCCGCTTAAAACAGCCTATGGTCGAGCAATTGAGCAATTGATCAGATGCTCTATAACCCACGTTTCGAAGACCGAGTTCTTCCCAGCCTTCTACGCTGCCCACGCAGCCGCTATGACAAGGAGTAATATTGAAGGAGGTTTTCGAGGAGCTGGACTTGTTCCCCTAAACCCAGAAAATGTCATATCGAAGCTTGATGTGCAGCTACGGACTCCAACACCGGCTGCAGAGGAGGTCGGCCTCCCCGACCCTTGGGTCTCGAAGACCCCAAAGACAGTGCTTGAGGCCAGTTCGCAGTCTGAATATCTTGAAAGACGAATGAGAAGGCATCAGAGCAGCTCTCCAGCATCAATTCTCAAGGCGCTTAAGTCACTTTCAAAGGGAACAAAGGCAATAATGCATCAGAATGCTCTATTGAAAGCTGAGAACCAGATCCTTCGATAGGCAAATGAGACTCTTAGCAAGCGGCGCAGAGCAAAGAAAACCCGCCTATGTAAAGGAGGGAAGATGACTTTAGATGAGGGCAGGGGTGAGATAGATCAGAGAGACGTTGATGCACAGGTAGCAGCTGAATCGTTGAGAAGTAGTGGTCGAGGGAGGTCAGCGATACCGAGGGAAAGGCGCTGTGGAACTTGTGGAAAGGCCGGTCATAATGTAAGGACCTGTCAGACTATAATTAAGACCTCTGAGGAAGAGCATAGCGATTAGTTTTAATTGATTGATTGTATTGTTGTGGTTTTATTGAGGTTTGAATCTTAGAGGTTAGGAAAAATTGTGCACTCGCTTGTATTGTGCACTCGCTTATCATATACGTTAGTTAATTAGCCTAAAGTTATATTAAATTATATATATAAAGTTATATTAATTTAAGGTTATATCTCCTAATAGAGAAATATCTTATAAGATAGAATATTAAGTTAGTTATAGAAAAGTTTACTAGTAAGGTATTAATAGAATCTGCAGCAGCCCGATATCTAGAGAAGGTTAAAGATAAAAGCCAGACAGAAAATATAATAACAACTAAAATAAACTTAAATAAATCTCTCAAAAATAAAAACAATAAATTAATTAACTTTCTAGCAGCCTTAAGCCCTTTTAGCCTCTCTAGCTTCTAGAAGGAATTTTCTAAAGAATTAAAAACTAATAATCTCTTCTAGTATAGGTTTCTTCCTCCCTTTTTAACCTTATTCAGACTACTCTAGAAATATTCCTACTAGCAACTAGCTAGCCTAAGTATTCCTAACTGCCTATTATAGTATACTATATACTACTTAAAGAAAAATCCTTTAGTATAAGATATAATAGATTATTAATTAACTATAATAAAAAGAATAATAATATATTAATCTTTAAAAAATTAGTAATTAATAATATATTAATAAAAAGCTCTAAAAGAGAAAGAAAGAAAGATTCATTCCAGGTATAGTTAATTAATTTATAGCTAAGCTAAGGGGTGGGTCTACAAAAGAAAAGATTTGAGCTAATTAAATTATTACAAATTTATTGCCCATCCCACAGCTTAGGGTTGCTAGCGCCACCCACCCCTCAGGGAAGCTAGCCACTAACCCTCAGGTTGTGTAGGTCCTTTTCAAGTCATCGGTTGGGATAAGCTGGCCTCTGCATTGTCCATGTTTCTTGCAGGGCTGTAGTACTGCTTATGAGCTTCGCAGTACAAATGTCTACATAGACTCAGATCAACGCTGGGGACCTCACTGTCGTATTCTGTCGTCACTAGCAATGAAGCACTATTCATCCATCCATCTGTACTTGTACTTGTACTGCCTTTTCGCGCCATCAAGGGCGATTTCCTTCCAACTACTTATCATATACTCTATGTCATTCCGGTGGGATGTACTCCGTAAGTACTTCCACTCCATGAACTAAATGAGGAAAGTGGGGGGAGATTCCACTCTCTTTAAGGACTAGCTTCGACCCCAAAATCCACAGGGTCACAAGTCGTGGTGAGACGCCACTCCATGCTAACTGTCCCCTACGTGAGATTCATCATGCTATCTGACGTTGGTCCTGGGCCACGCTTTGTCTACCATCTATTACACGAAAGAAGGGCTAGATAAAAACGAGAAAGGAAGAACGTGGAAGGAAAAAAAAAGGTAGTCAAGACCCAAGCAACATTGCCATAAAAGCCCAGAAAAACCAAGGGCCTGGGAACAGTAGAACCTTTGCCTCTAGATCAGCCAGCCTTTCCCCTATCAACACCAAATTGTCCCCGGAAAAAGAAAGTGTGCAAGGCGTTGTATCGCCCACCACACACCCTCTTGGAATTTTCATGGTCAACAAATGGTGACGGTGACAGAAGTGCTACGACCAATAACGTACCTGGGACCTATGCTTGGCTTTCAGAGAGCTAACAAATTGTCAAGCCTTGTCTTCTGAAAATGACCGGCGCTGAGCAATCAGGTTAACCAGGACCGCGGTCACCTCCTTGGCCATCTTGAAATGACCACAGATGTACAGATGGGCATCCTCGTTCTCGAGCAGGCTCAGCACCTTGACGGCCAGCTCCTTCAGAAGATGCTGTACGTAGACCTTGGACGGGCCAACTCGTGAAAATGCCACGTGCAGATGGAACTGATGCTCGAGAAGCCCTTTGCTCATGTTCCACTCTTCCTCGTACATGAAGTCCTCGTCCGGTCTCCAGCAGCCGGTGAAGAGGACAGACTGTCCAACGCGCTCGCCGTTCTGTGCCGACTGCACTCGCCGCGCCACGAATGCGCGGAAAGGGGCGACTCCACTCCCGGGACCGATCATGATGATGATGGGAGTGCTGGCGTCTTTGGGTAAGCAGAAGTGCGACTGACGCGTCGACACTATTATCCGGAGGTCGTCGTGATTGCAGCGGGGCAGGCGAAGAGCTCGCTGCTGCTGTGAGATACTGAGAGTTGGGACTTTGGAAGCGCAGGCCGGCCGGCATCTCGTCGTCTTGAATTGCCACCGTGACGTGTATTCTGTAGGGGGACTCGGTGGAGACTGTGCTCGAGGGCGAGATGGAGTAGTAGCGGGGTCTGAGGGGCGTCCAATGATCCAGAAGAATGTCAAACAACAGCGAAGACCACGGGGTCCCGTTGCTCGTCCTTCCCAGTAGCTTGGCGAGATTCAATCTCTGTTGTGTCACCTGATGGTGGAACGACTCCTTGTCCTCGGTGAGCCTTCCAATAGACTCCTTTGCCTCCTCGGTAGGCGCAAACGAGGTGAAAACAGCTTGGGAACCTGAAGAAATTTCCCGAAACTGAAGTAGAGGAATGAAGATACAGCTGCTCCTTGGGAGCCTTGGATTGATGAGCTGACATTGTTGGTCGTTCTAGCTTTCCGAGAATAGGATCAAAGAGGATGAAGTCGCAGACACGTCTTGGAATTCTTCTTCAAGGCGATGGGGTCACATCTGTATTGATGTCTTTTTCGTCATGCTGTTGGGCATATAACTATTTCTAGCCCAGTACCCTTGCCCATGCTGATCTCCCACATAACCCCACAATCTCCAATGCTCATGAACCTTGCGGGGGTTTAGGAAGCCTGAGGTCTGAATTGGGGGATCAGTATCTATTACATAATTAGCATGTAAATATAGCCAGCGTCGAGATCCTCTACTATTGCAACCCCCTCCCTGTGGTTAACCCGTGTCAGTAAGGCTTCTAAAAAGCCAGCTAAAAATTCATGGGTTAGATTAGGTCGTCTTTTCCCCGCATCGAGTTCCCGGGGTTCTCGGGGATGCAGCGACAGCGACATGCCGAGGCCCTAGCAATTGTAGCTCCAAAATTACGCAGCAGTGTCGGCTCGCTCGGTGGCTGCCACCTCGTCGTTGGGTACGTCCTTATGTGATTAACTTACTAGGTATGTACGTACCTAACGTTTAGCTTGGGTACCTAGTCAAAGGGCGAGACCGGCCTCTAAAAGACCTTTCCATTCTTCCCCATTGGCTCGTACTGTGGCAGAAACGCGGGGTAATCATGGTTTACCCACAGGTTCTCGGGTACTCCAGCGAACCCCGGAATCAATCCACTCCTGCATCCAGATGAGACGCTTCCGTGTCCCCAAATCTCATCATCACCAGCATCAGCATCGCGCCCGCAAGTTACAGCTACAGTCCACGGTCCACAGTCTACAGTCTACAGTCTACAGTCTACAGTCTACAGTCTACAGTCTACAGTCTACAGTCTACAGTCTACAGTCTACAGTCTACAGTTGCAGTTTACAGAGACAGAGACAGACATGGTCGGCTCCTCATTCCACATCTTCCGGGCCCTTCACCCACCTGGCAAGGCTACTCAGGGCGTACATACCTGCCCGACCTGCTTCAAGACCTTCACGCGAAGCGAGCACTGCACGCGACACCAGCTCTCGCACAACAAGCAGCGGCCCTTTACGTGTCAGTTTTGCGGCAAGACGTATGCACGAAAGTAAGAAACTGCCGGCCATAATAAGTCGCTACAGCAAAAAAAAAAAAAGAAAAAAAAAGAAAAAAAAAAGAAGACGGTTACTAAGTAGATTGAAAATGAACAGAGATCTAGTCAAGCGACACGAGCGGACGATACACGTAGACGAATACTCGAGGCAAATGGAAGACGAAAACACCACCCAGAGCACCTCGAAAAACGTCGACGATAACCAGGAGCAGGAGCAGGAGCAGACGTCGCCGAGGCCAGAAAATGCACAATCATCCTCCGATTCCGATTCCATCACAGTGCAGGTCGTCCCGATGGTGAGCCCAAATCCACGCAAAAGGCCACGTCATGACGAGGGCGAAAAGGCCAATATATCAGCGACCGACCCCCCCACGACGAGGCTGCCAGGTGGTTCCATTTCCACAAAGACCACCACCGTCGCCGACGACACTCCAAACGTCGTCTTGCTGGAAGAAATCTCGTCGGCGAATCATGGCTTGGGTCAGTCGAGGCCTTCGGGAGACGAGTTCGCTGGCACCGTCGCGGAAATCATGGCCGCAGCCCCCTCAAACCCTGTGACTGAGACTGAGGCAGGCCTCGACGCCCTCGACAATGGCACTGGCTGTTCACCCGGTTCGGATCCTCTCATGTTTATGCAATCATTGGATTTCCTCGGCGACGACTTTGATGACATGGCTGGCGAATTCCACTTTGAGTCAGGCTCCGGGATGCCGCACAACGACGCGAGCTTTCCGTGGCGACACGCTACTTTTGCGCCTCTCGAGTTACAGAATCACATGCCGGAGCAGCAGCAGCAGCAGGGCTTCAGGTCAAGTGATGAGTCGCTACTGACACCCGAAAGCAGCAGAGGGCCCGACCATCCTATCCACTCGGCCCGGGAGAACCATCCCGGTCGGCTACCCAAGATCCTCAAGGAGACACCTGCGAGCCTGCCGCGGATTCTGATAGACGACGATGCATATCAGCATCTGCAGCTTGATACCTGCTCGCGGCTGGGACAGTCACATATCCCGCTGCCTCTGAAGAACCCTTGGGAAGTGCAGCTCATGCTTAACGGCTACATCGACAGCTTCCATCGCCACCTTCCCATCCTCCATCTCGCCTCGATGAAGCCGAGCCAGACGCCGAGCCCCCTGATATGGGCAATGTGCTGCATTGGAAGTCTGTACCGCCTCGATCGAGAAAAGGCACGTCGCTTCCATGCCTTGGCAGTCTCGATGCTGCCCTCGAATACCAACAACTACCGGATTTTGGGGTCGCCGCAGTCCTGCCAACGCCAACGAAGCATAAATACGGACATGGAACCGCTCTGGGTCATGCAAACTCGCGTGTTGCTATGCTTTTATGCATCACTCGGCGGGGATCACGACGTCGCGGTTGCTGTATTCGACGAGCTAGGCCTCTTTACAAGGGTTCGTAGTACCCTGATCAGTTGATCTCCGGGCTGATGGAATATAGTATTTGCTGACCATGCCACTCTTTTCTGTAGGATTACCGACTGCGCCGGGATTACCTCCGACGCTCTCAGCCTCCGCGCCGCCATACCTGGGAGGAATGGATCGAGAGGGAGTCAATGAAGAGACTGCTGTGCGGCATGTTTATGAAGAGCAACCTGCTCCTCATCCTGTATGACGTGGTGCCCGGGTTCGACACCAGCCAAGATCTGGACATTGAGGCCTTGGAGGAAGAACGGCTGTGGAATGCACCCACCGCCGCCGCGTGGGAGGTTATGCGACAGGCAGTCATCCCTTGCACCAAGAGCATCCGTGACATCCTCGCCGACATGCTTTCTGAGGTACCACCAGATGAGGACGAAGTTGCAGACTCCTACGGCGTGTCCGGGTTCACAGCGCTCGTCGCGGTTCATGCCGTCAATATACACAACTGGCATCTTTCCCAGGTCTCACGAACGATGAGGAGGGGGATGAAGACGGCGGGCATTGCACCCAACGCCATGCTGCAACACTCGCTCGCGGCCCTGACGAGGTGCCGCGAGGTTCTGCGTCTTTCACGTCCCAATGGCGCCGAGCCCATGTGGGACGATCCCGAGGGACCGCTGTTGTTCAACTGCGAGGCCATGCTCCGCGCCGCCTACGCTCGACTGTTCACCGACGCGAGCTTGCCGCAGCGCTTCACCATACTGTGCGCCTCTTCAGAGGACAGACAGACTGCCCTGCGAGACTTTGTTGCGGCCAAGCAGGAGCGCAGCGCCTTGATGACCAAAGCGGTTGGTCACGTCCTCGAGTCGATCCTGATTCCTATCAAGGTTGGTTATTTGCTAGTGCAGAAGACGGCAGCATTCTCCTGGAGCGTCGAGACTGCGGTATCTGCATGGGCATGTGGTCAATACTCCCTCCCCCCTCTCTCTATAAGTTGTCTCAGGAGGAAAAGCTAACTCGACATGTTTCTTTTGCAGTCTTCCTCCTCTGCAAATGGGTTTATTGCATCGAAACGCTAAAACCTCAAGACGGTCCCAAAGAGCTGGAATCCCGTCTCATCTCTCAGGTGAAGACGGCTTTACACAATATGGGGTGCGAGTACGAGGAGGGGCGCTCCCTGGCCGCGGCTCTTGGAAGAGCATGGGCCTCTTTCCACAACGACGTAAGTTGATCTACGGATTCGTCAGAGTAAGAAAATGTCTGGGACCGTTACTAACGGGACTGACAGGTCTGGGTGTGGGGAATCACCGCGCGGCTGGGCCAGAACTTGATGGAGCTAGCGGAGCTTTTCGAGTCAAGCTATGAGGAACATTGTCGAAACGCGACGACGGGGTCAAATGAAGAGTGTGAAAACTTCGCGCCCCTCATCTTAGAGAGGAAGGGTCTTACAGTATGGATGGATGGTGGAGGTAACGCAGAGTGAATAAGCACGGGAGTGAGGATGACGGCCAAGTCAAAGGCGACTTTGCTTGTGGCTAATTATGAGATGTGTAGACAGTTTAGATGGGACGATAAAGACGAAATACCGTCCGAGAGAACAGCAATTGTCTTAGCAAATCATACGAGTCTGCTTCTATATTTGTCCAAGATTGGCCATGTGCGAACGTACCGCTGTAATCTGCCGCCGGCATACAGTCGCGGTTGTATTTGGTAGCTGACGGCACTCTCCAGTTCTTGAATTTGCCCGCTATTTCGCACCTCCTCACCCACTTGCCACAATGGGAAAGGTGAGGTGAAAGACTCACTCTGAAGGCACGGCTTGCGGATTATCCACTTTCTACTAGGGAAATTCTCGCCGAGAACATCGTAGTGTGCTCTCTAGGGTAGGGGCTCCCCTAGGATGCATCGAGAGCGGTTCAATATCAACAAGCTAGGTGACTACATGATGAATGGCAAAGCAATTCTCAGAAAGCAGCTATAGGTAGGCTTCCGCTCAAGTCAGTATTGAGTGAAGTGAGACTATTTCCATAAAATGCCACGATAGGGGAGTAGCGTTGTGAATAATTGGTGGCACGCCTGGTTGAACTTGCTCATATTAGTCACGCGGCTCAAATTGTCCCATCTCTCTCATCGCGAAACTTTACGAACGGTATCTGCAAGATGGTACCACCGTATGTTGAATGCACAAGTCTACAATCCTTAGCCTTTCTTTGCAAGCACTTGTCGTGAGCAGGCGTAACTAGGGGTGCGGGATAATTCCGGTCCCCTCTGAAAGGAGTACCCACATAGTACTTAGAGCCCTCTCTTTCTCGACCAAAATTACGGACACGCGGAATCACTCAAGTTACGTAGCTGGTGCGCTAACCCGCAATGAGCAGTGGCAGATGGTGGGGTTTGACACACTTCCTATCATGGTTACGCTGTAGGTACGAACCCGGTCTTTTCTGCCCCACCAATGCCGAGTTCTCTCGCATGGACTACGGTGTAACTTAAGCGTAGACTAGTTACCCCATCATAGGAAAGTCGACCAGCCTCGAAGCCGCATAGTTGATGATCCTGCAAGGGGCTCTCTGTTTGGCAGTACCTGTTCACTTCTGGTCATATAAATACATACTTGAGCATTGCCCTACGGTATCCTCCAAACGGATATTGCCTCATCTCTACTCCAGATACTCAAGATTCTACCGCACCGCCTGAGGTAACATTCATACAGCCATGTCGTCCTTCCAGCCTCCACCAAAACTGTCAGACAAGTACTCTGGCATCCCGGAGCGCCTTCTCGAAAAGGCGACCGCGATGAAGCGCGAGGTTGTCGAGCTGTCGACCAGCGAGATTATTCCTCGTCCCTCGAACATCGAGCTGCCTGTCATCCCTTCGGGATACTCCCGGCCCCGATTCAATCGAGCAATTGAGTCGATCCGAACCCTCATCGGACCTGAGAATGTCGAATTGAACGACAAGCCCCTGGATGATGGCTGGTAAGGAGCACACCGTTGCACAATCTTGTCTTCTCGGCGCGTATCTAACATGTGACAATCAGGTACCTTGAGCGTATGTATCGGGGTTTCAAGTCAGTTTTCGTCCAGCCTTAACTAGTTTTTATAGATCCCAACACCCACGATGCGTTCCACTTGGTTGAACAGGAAGAAATGGTCTCCGCTGCCACCGTGTATCCGGCATCGACCGAAGAGGTTGTCCATATTGTGAGATGGGCCAACAAATTCGAAATTCCCATCTATGCCATTTCTATGGGTCGCAACCGTAAGACATGGCTTTTGGAACACTGATGACTTGCGCATTCACCCGCTGATCACTCCCAAAGTCGGTTACGGCGGCGCTGCCGCCCGAGTCCGAGGCAGCGTTATCGTGGATCTTGGCAAGCGCATGACCAAGATCCTCGACATCAATCCCGATACGTGCACCTGCCTCTTGGAACCTGGTGTTTCTTTCTATGCCCTCTACGAGGAGATTCAGCGAAGAGGCCACCATCATTTGTGGATTGATGTTCCTGATCTTGGCGGTGGTTCTGTGCTCGGAAACACAGTCGACCGAGGTGTTGGTTATACGCCTTATGGAAATCACTTCGAGTGCCATTCTGGCATGGAGGTTGTTTTACCAACCGGCGACGTCATACGCACTGGCATGGGAGCACTACCAGGAAACAACACCTGGCAGATCTTCCCATATGGCTTTGGACCGTATGCCGAGTTAGTCGAAGAGAAGAATCACGGCCCAGATCCTGCGGCTAATGAGCATTTCAGTGGCATCTTCACGCAATCCAATTTTGGCATCGTTACCAAGATTGGTATGACACTCATGCCCAATCCCGGTGGATCCGAGGGATTCGTGAGTAGCATGCAGAGCCAGCCTTGGACGATTCCGGATTCTAATTTTTGCTGGCAGATGTGCACCTTTAAGGAAGAAGAAGATCTGGCCCAGATCGTAAGTGCACTCCCACCAGCAGCTGTGCCATTGTTCAAGGGGTAGACTAATATCGGACCCAGATTGAAGTGGTTCGCCCTCTGAGGATTAGGAATATCCTGGAGAATGTTGCTCAACTCAAGCATGTGATTCAAGAAGTTGCTTTGCTCGGCAAGCTTCGAACCCACTGGTACCAGGGCAAGGGACAGATTCCTCTTAAACGACTCAGGGAGATCGCCTCGACCCTGCCTTGCGGCGACTGCTCGTGGGTTTATTACGGTAATGTCTACGGGTAAGGCTGGACCAGAGAGACAAAGTCCAGGTTTGGAGGCTGACAGGATTTGCAGACCCAAGAAAAACAGAGACGAGAAGCTCAAGATGATCCGTGAGGCATTCGAGACGGTGCCCGGGGCGCGCTGGATCCCCAGGGACAGTCTACCCAAGGATCATTACATGTTTTCTCGAGAGAAGATTGCAAGCGGCGTCCCGGAGTTCGAAGAGCTCAGGTGGCTCAACTGGCATGTAGGTGAACCTGAACAAGAACAGACGAGCTGCCGCGCCGAGGGTGCTAACTGTAAAATAGAAGAACGGATCTCACGTCTTCTTCAGCCCAGTATCAGCCCCACGAGGCGAGGATGCTATGAAGCTGTTCAACGTAAGTTCATTGCTTCGACTAGAGAATTGTTCTGTGCCTCGTTCACTCACTCACTCACTCACGCAATTTGATAGATTGCCAAGAAATGGCACGACGAGTGCGACCTTGACTCTTTCCCGGCATGCTGCATCGGCCTCCGCGAGATGTACGTCATTGTCAATATGGTGTACGACCGAGGAAACCCGGTCTCCAAGGCCAACGCGTACCGTTGCATGCGCGGCATGATCAAGGATGCAGCGGAAGCAGGCTTTGGAGAGTACCGCACGCACTTGCTGCTCTCCGACCAGGTTGCTGGAACCTACAGCTGGAACAACAATGCCTTGATGAGGTTCCATGAGTCCATCAAGGATACCCTGGACCCCAACGGCATCCTGGCCCCCGGGAGAAATGGAATCTGGCCGAGGAAGTACCGCAACAAGGGGTGGGAGCTCGGCGAGAATGATCTAGAACCTCGCACTCAAGGGTTGGACGTTTCGCATAAGACTAGGGCGGCGAGGGAAGGCGATTCCAGGTTGTGATTCACGATCGATAGATGCTCCTGTGGGACAATGATCAATTTAATTCAGACCGAGAACGAATACGAGACTACCTAAGAGGTTTGCGCGAGCCCAGACAAGATGAATATCATTACAGGCCTCACTCTTCTGCATATGCAGCAGATGAACAGTGCCATTTTACCGACACGTGGGTTGCCACCAAGCCTGCCAACATGCCACACAAGGCCGCAAATTCCTCACCGAAAACCTCGTTGCCGTCGTATGTACAAAGACGAGGATTGCTGTTCTTGGCCATGTGGTGGGAGTGAGAGTGGGGGCGAGGCGGAGGCGGGACATTGGTTTGTCGTCCTCATTCATCATTTAGTCTAACTTACTCATTGCGGCACACAATAAACTTAGTGGCTTAAACTTAGTGGCATCTACCAAGGTGAGACAGTAAACTACCCCGCACGTCTTTTAGTTTTTATTCGTCTACAAGCCCAGAGTTTGAACAGCAGAAAGTAGGCAGATCGATCTAACGCATATCATCCATAGATGAATAACATGAGGACTTTTGAGTACGTCGGTGCTCCCTACCGAGTCTTGTTCGGCAACGGCATCCTCAAGCAGGAGGTTTGTCCGCTTATGGAGAAGCTCAACAGTAAGGCGGCCATTATCCTTAGTACGCCGGAGCAGGTCTCAGTGGCCGAGACAGTTCAAGGCCTCCTAGGTGGCGCTGCAGTATGTGTCTTTTCCGAGGCAACGATGCACACACCAACCCACGTCACAGAGAAGACGTTGGCTCTCATTAAAGAGAAGAAGGTCGATGGTATTGTCTCAGTAGGAGGAGGCAGCACTATTAGCCTAGGCAAAGCTGTAAGCGTGCGCACAGGATTGCCTCACCTTTGCATTCCTACGACATACGCTGGCAGCGAGATGACGCCGATTCTAGGCGAGACTGAGAATGGGCGGAAGGTCACCAGGCGCGATACCGAGATCCTGCCTAATGCAGTCTTATACGACGTGGAGCTCTCCAAGATGCTTCCTACGAAGATAAGCCTATATAGTGGTATAAACGCCATTGCACACGCTGGTAAGATGCGCCTATGGACAGGAAAGTTGGTTGTCGCTAACCTTGTCCAGTTGAGGGTCTCTATGCTGCTAATAGAAACCCCATCATCGAGCTAATGGCACTCGAAGGCATCAAAGCACTTTGCGAGGCATTGCCGATTATCAATAGAGATCTTCAAAACCCTGAAGCACGCTACATGGCACTGTATGGAGCTTGGCTTTGAGGATTGGTCCTCGGTACTGTGGATATGGCAGTGCATCACAAGTTGTGTCATACGCTCGGAAGAACCTTCAACCTACCACACGCGGAGACCCACGTTGTCATGCTGCTACACGCCTTGTCTTACAACCAGTCCCATGTCCCCGAGGCAATGGAGAAACTGGCGAGTGTTCTACCAGAGTCCAATGGAGATGTCGTCCAGGGCCTCAATGCGCTCTACCGACGCCTGGGTATTCATTTTGGTCTCAAGGACCTTGGCATGCCGGAGCATGGTGTCGAAAAGGCCGCAGAGATTGCTGTCTCTAATACGTACAAGAATCCACGCCCTCTGGAGCGTCAAGCTATCCAGGAAATTATACGTCGCGTCTGGGCAGGGGAGAATGCTTCATCAGTTTGATAGAAGGGAGCTTAAATTACAAACATCTTGCATTTTCTCAAAGTATCCAGCAGTATACCCAATGCTATGAAATCAACGATAGCATTGAGGACTTTGGTAGGAAGACCTAGTAGACAATTACTCCAAGTGTTTAGTCGAATATCGGCAACACCACTCCTCTCGATAAATCAGGGGCTACACAGCGATTCTGGTGCATCTAATGATCGTAGCTGATTTGAGACGGGAGAAGATGCACCTTATGTTCAATTTACCATGCTTCCTACCCTCTACTAATGCTACCTGCCTCATAAGTAGCTTTTCAAGTGGTTTGATACTACCAAACTTCCACGCACCTGGACACTGAGTACGAGGGCGCACAGATACACGGCCTGTAGATAAAGAAAAGGATTTGCCGTTGTTTGAAATGACTAGGAAAGAAACTAATTCTCCGTTGTGATCCCTCCACGTCACATTCCTTGTCTCAAGGCAACTGTGTAGTACATGTCTTGAGGTTTGACAAACCAATGATTTTGATACTTGACTCTCTCCGGCCTGAAAGCAGCGAAAGCATATCGCTTGACAAGCGTCGGGACCAGTTTGTTCATTTCCATCAAACTAATGTGTTTCCCAATGCAAGTTCTGCTACCGGCGCCAAACTGTTTGCACCGAAGTCAACTTCTCAGATCCACTAATAAGAACCGGAATGGGCGAGATGCGTGAAATGATAGTGCTGGACTCACAGGCATGAAACACGAATTCATCAGGGACAGCTGTTCCGGCGAAGCCTCCAGCCATCTTTCCGGCCTGAATATCGCCGCATCGGCCCCGAACACGCTTTTGTTTTGGTGGGCGACCCAGGTATTCACTCCGACGGTAGTCTACCTACAAGTAAGCATAGAAATCGTAAAACAGATGGAGGGATCAAGACTGACACCGGCAGGGAAGAATTTCCCGCTGATTGTAGCACCACCCTCGGGGACTAGTCGTACCAAGGGAAGACCGGTTGCTGGATGTATCCTCAAACCTTCCTTGATGCATGCTTGCAGATATGGCATGGACTGAGCGTCTTGAAACGGCATGAACTTGTTATCGCCGAGGTCCCTAAACTTCTCATCAACTTCTTCTCGAAGCTAGAGACGGGTTTCTCTATGTCAGCGAGGTGTTCTGTGACGAGACAAGTGGCCTACGGTACACCAACCTTCATGAGACTTTGCGGGCGTTTAATGAGATTATGCATGATGCTGCACAGAGAGATCGAAGTGGTATCTGAGCCAGCTGCAATGTTGGTGAAGCAAGTGATGTACGCGGCATTCAGGGGAAACCTTTCGCTGTCTCGCTCATGAATCTCCATAGTCTTGCTGAGGAAGCTCCCGCCACTGTCCTGGGCCTTTTTGCCCAAACACGTTTTCATGGCTATTTGGATCTGTTCCCTTGTGAACTGAGCAACGTGCATCATACCGTTTGTGCGAAACTTGGCCATCAGCCAAAACAGGGGCTTGTGTAGGCCCGGGAAGATGCCAACCAGAGCACAGTATTTGAGGTACGAGTCCAAGCTGGAAAAGATGTTTCGTTCGTCGACGCCCTTTTCTAGCAGGCCGAGCCTCTTGGATAACTGGTGTACGTTAACTCTGGTCGCAGAAATGTGCCAGGAGAGGTCCCAGCTGCGGGAGAACGCACTGTAATCTGGCTGATGACGTCAAACGCGTAAGACTGCATCCAGAACTGCAAGTCAAAGGGCTCTCCTGACGCTGCCAGCTTGTTCAGGCGTTTCTGGTACAACACAATGCACTCGTCAACACTATCTTCCATGCTCCGAAGGGCAGTGACTGAGTACAGATTCGCCACCAGTCGTCGATGCAAGGCATGGCGCGTCGTGTTTCGATCGGTGAACAGGCCTTCGTATTCCGCATGAGGATTGCTGGAGGCGTCGTACCAGGCCGCCTAGAATGGTGTCAGTTCAACTCCAGATTTCAAAAAGGCTCCAGGACACGGCACGCCGAGGTCCATATCGCTATGCGGGCACCCTTCACCTTTGGAAACGTTCGTCTCAAGCCGTAGATGAGCTTGACAGCATCAGGCTCAGACAGGCTATATTGATCCGGCGCTATTCTGACGATTGGTCCTTTACTCCTCGTTAGCCATGTTGAGCCCCAGGTATTTATTCTCCCCTGGTATGACCACGAAGGACAGGACACAACTTGCCGTATTTCTCGTGTAGTTTGACATTGTCCTTGTGAAAGTCCCCTTGCCAGACCTTTGTGAAGTACCATAGCCGAGTAAAGCGAGCCGCAATCGGACCCGGCAAGCCTCTGAGAGGTGAGAGGATGACTTGAAGGATGGTCAAGATGGGGAACACAATGAGGGCTACTGCAGCGAGCAGTAGAAAGGGGTGTTTCGCAGCGAAAGAGAACAGCCTAGCTGGAATAGTGCCATACTTGGTAGTCTCCTGTGCGTCGTGTTGTGAGTCCATGATGAAAGGCCTTGACCTGAACAAACTTAACATGCCAAGCACACACTCTGGAGGGTTGGTGTGTTAAGGTAATAGCAGCAAGTCAGTCGCGGAGGCCTAGGGTTATCAAGCACTCAATCTGGTGTAACCAGCCCTCATCTTGCCCTTAATTCTGATTTTTGAGTACTGGCTACACTGGGTTGAGTGCTTGATAGTCTCTCTCTTAAACGGTATCTAAGCTAACCAATTGAGGCATACGACGTGGTTGACACTTGGCGGGGAAACTAGGAGTGCAGATCTAAGCGGGGCTTGTCCCGCCACCTACTTCCCCCACATGATACGAATCCAGCTTAGCTTTCCCCATGGGCATGGGGATAGTGACACGCGGGGGGTTGGTAATCAATAGTGCACACTGGTCGAGGGCTCGAAGCCTGTAGGTGCAATGTGCGAGCGCCTCGTTTCCCTGGGTGGCAGTAATGCTGTTCGGTAGGTATTCGTCACAAAGACGCGGCATCCGAGTCTGATGGACTTCGGTGCCCTTCTCAGTGTGCTAAGACATCTTTGAAACTGCGGAGAGTGTCCAGAGTCTAGACCCTTGCCCTGGGTTCCGCAGATTTCCCCGGATTCTCTCGTTTCTTATCGACACATGCCGACGCGCGAATATCTGCCGACATAAGATACTCCCCGAGGACATTGTGCATAATGAATGGTTGAGTGTAACAATGAGCGAGGAGAACCTCTGCCCTTCACTTCAAGAATCAACACGTCCTGCTTCCGGTGATTAGCGAAGTACTATCTGTATTCCCTTTTCGCGCCGTCAAGGGCGATTTGCTTCCACATTGACAAGGAAGACGTTTTCTCACACATTTATGGTAGTTGGCTGAGTACATACCGCCGCAGCTAGGTATCATTTGTGCGCAGCATATCCACCGAGACACCGATTGATTAGCTTCTCTCAATTTGTCCAAACGCCCAAGCTATTCCTCATAAGCCATCAAATTGCCCCCCGCAAAATGATCGGCGTAAACCTTCATCACCCCGCATCAATCAGCTTCAGACCTTGTGGCGTTTCTAGTCATCCAGTAGTCGCTCTCCCTGTTTAAGTTGGTGAGCTAGGAGGCCCTGGGAACGCAACCTACTGTAGCCACACATTTGAGGGGCTCGCAAATGATAGATATTTGAGCAATCCTGTCTCCACCCCAAGATCGTCTGGTCAAGATCCACCACAGAATATCCCCTCTTCTATTATTTTCATTGCAGCTCTTTTTCCAAACATAGCTATGGCTTGGGGTATTCTTGAGGTAGCATCGGGCCAGGGGCATCATGTCCCAGGCACTGTGCTTCTGGAGGAGCAGTCTGACAACATCGTTGTCGGTCATATCGAGCATGTCAAGAAAGTTGTACACAAGAACGAGACGGTGATTCTTGTGCCGCAACCTTCAGATGATCCCAACGATCCTCTGAACTCGTCCCTTCTGCAACGAGACCTTCGGTTCCTCCTATTCGGTTATTGCGGAGTTCTTATCATCGGGGGGTCAGTAGTTCCATGCTATTGTCTAGTTCATCACCGCACGCTTAGACTGACTAAATCACAGCATTGGTCCTATCCTGGCTTCCTTCGTACCCGAACTCATGACCCTCTTCAACGTCAGCCTCGCCGATGTTTCGCTTCTCACGGGCTACAGTCTCTGTGCGACGGGAGCTTCGGGTATCGTCATTTCTGCCGCTACGCGCAAGTACGGAAAGCGACCTACATTACTCTTCTCTGTGGTCTGCGCATTTGTCGGAACAGTTTGGGGCGGTGCTGCGCAGTCCTACGACTCTTTGCTGGGCGCCCGTGTTGTCCAAGGTTTATCCGTCTCCATGTTCGAGTCCATCTTTTTTGCCATTGTTGGGGACTTGTACTATGTCCACGAACGAGGATTTCGCACCTCTATCGTAACCACAGTCGTTTCCGGAATTTCGAACCTGCCCGCCGTTCTTGCTGGTAAGATCACCACAGATCTGGGTTGGAGATGGGTTTTTTGGCTGCTCAGCATCTTTCTCGGGGTTGGCCTTGTTCTGGCTGTGCTTTTTGGGTGGGAGACGGCCTACAATCGCAAAGCCATTTACAACACGGATGTTGGTTCTCAAGATGTGAGTGTTTGCGAGCGCTTTTCCTCTTCTCCTTTGGCATCTTCTGTAGTGTATACTGACGCATTGCTTGAAAAGAATCTCGAGAAACTTGAAGCGAAGAGAGCTGCTATAGTCGACCATATCGAAAGTCAAGTCGACGGCATCTCCAAGGCCGAAACTGCGACCAGCATCGCGATTCAACGTCAATCGTTTTTGACATTGATGAAGCCATACTCTGAAACGTTCACCGATGAGCCATTGTGGAAGCTGATGATTGCCCCTATCACGATCCTGTATAACCCTGTTGTCATCTGGGCTGTTACGTTGATGTCTTTCCCAACACTCTGGCTTGTAGCAATCAACTTGCTCACAGCTCAAATCTTCTCGGCCCCGCCGTTCCTGCTCAACACCACACAGCTCGGGTACTTTTCTGCCGGTCCAACCGTTGGCGGCTTTCTGGGCGCGTTGATCGCTGGTCTGGTTTCGGATCCTCTGATCAAATTCTTTTCGCGCCGTAATCAGGGCGTTTACGAGCCCGAGTTCCGACTTTTCCTCATTGTGCCTGGATTTTTATGTTCCGCTATCAGTTATTTCCTTTTCGGATATTTTATCGAGCAAGGCAAGAGCCCTGTCGTAATGTCAGTACTTTGGGGAATCGCCACAGCCGCTCTGCAGTTCATTATGATGGCGATTGGCACATACTGTGTCGACGCTTATCGGGCAATCAGTGTGGAAATCTTTATTGCCACCATGATCGTCAAGAACTTTGTTCTCTACGGCTTTTCATGTAAGCTTGTCAAAAGGGTTGTACACAGCATTCCATGCCTTGGCTAACGCGCTGATTAGACTTCATTAACGATTGGATTGTGCGCTGGGGTCCAGCAAAGATGTTTTATGTTATTGCCGGCATCCAACTTACATTATGCCTTACTACTGTCCCGCTGTACATGTACGGTAAGAAACTACGAGCCTGGTGGCACAATGCATAGGCCTCGTCTAATCAACACGAGGTGGAATGCCGAGAGATATTCGAAAATCACGATACGAATGCTTTTGGTGGATTATGGCTTCGATTCTTGTGCTTGACATACTATGATAACCATCAGACACTGGTTGTTGGTTTAGCTAGTCTGTGAGGGGACTGAGGGCTTCTAGACAATCAAACTCGAAGTCTTACAATAATAATTCTTGATCTGAGTATATTGTATAGATGACACATAGTGATTGCATTATGTATTACAATCAATATAAACGAAATTCAATCCCGTTTGTTTGTCGATTCCGAAACCATTACCGTGTTATCCTTACTTTATTCCTGCTCAACATATGAAGAGGGGTCGACGTTTTAGCGCTCGGGTGCCGATTGTAGAAGCCCACAGGACGGAGACTCAATTTGGAAGGCATTTGTTCTCAGAGTCACAAGCATGGGCTCTGTTGGATAGCAGCTAGTTGGAACACCGCCAGAGAAAATGGATACTAAATTACGATGGCGCATAATGAGCTCTTCCCCAGGCTTGGATGATGTTCTGTGACATCACATCAGTATAGTTATCTGAGCTGCCGTTTTTCGCCATTAAGGAAGATCTGCTTCCACACTGGAAAAAGAAACACGTGTTTTCACACATTTCTGGCATCTTCTCAAACCATATCTGTATGGTTTATCGTGATGGTGCAGGCATCAGTGTGTGAACTCTCGATTTGTGTCAATCGTCTGGCTAAAAATGGCAATAGCATCTATCCCACATCAGTTAAGTTGCTGTGACAGGCAATTTGCTTCCCCCACATAGTCTCACCCCACTTTAGTTAAACCATTGGAGGCTTATACTACCCCCGCATAGACCCGTTATTACGCTGACCTAACAGATGGAAAAGGCGGATATTGCCTAAGCAACGCGTGACCGTATCTTTCCCACGTTTGGTAAATAGAATGCAGTAACGGTTTAAGCTATGCGGGACGTATGTGCCCCGATATGGAAGTATAGGGACAGATTGGGCATTAGGGCAACGTTGCCCTTGATGTATTGTCCAGTTTCGGGCATGAGGCCGATAGATGAGCCCCAAGGAATACTACATGAACGCAGAGCTCAGGTTTCTTTTCTCGCCTGCAGCACATCGGATTTCTACTCACCCTGATTTTCCTCTACATATTTTATCCAGTGTCGTGTTAAATTGGTCATAATCGCAATGGCGCTGTTGAAGAAAGTGACAGATGAACAGTTGACCAGCTTGAAGGGAAAGACGATCATTATCACTGGAGGAGGAAGTGGCATTGGCAAAGCAGCAGCAAACCTTGCTTACGGTCCGTATTTCCACGATTGATGAACATTCCACATCAATCCCTATACGTGACCGTTGTAACAACAGAAATTAATGTTAAAATTGTTATACAGCTGCTGGCGCCAACATTGCCATCGCCGATCTCAGTAATGATGTAGCAGCATCACTGTCTGAAGAATTCCCCGAGTACACTCTATCCTTTTCCGAGCCTCATGTCGTGTTGACCCGTGGTCATGACCAGATTGCATTTCTCATAGAGCGCAGTTCAGGGCTTTAACATGATGGTCTGATGACTAACGTACTCCAGGCGTATGATCTTTGTCAAAGCGGATGTTTCCAAATGGCCCGAGGTTTTGAACATTTTTAAAAAAACATGGGATCGCTTTGGGGCCATCGATGTCGTGCTTTCAAACGCCGGTACTCATGCTTTCGAGACCTTGCAGGATGAAGCGCTGGACGACGACGGTTACCCAACAGCTCCGAGTCTGACGAGCTTCGAGGTCAACTTGCACTCCGCAGCGTACTGCACCAAGGCCGCGGTTCATTTCTTTAAGAAACAGCCGCAAAGAAAGTGCCAATTGGTCTTTACTGGCTCAGCAGCGAGGTCAGTATCCTAACGACCCAGCGGCAATGAATGAAGTGAAAGATGCTCCATACTCACAGTTTCCAGTCTAATCGACACGCCGCCACTTTACCTTTACTGTGCCGGTAAGGCTGGGGTACTTGGTCTCATGAGAGGAATGAGACATAGTCTTCCGTGTGAAAACATGTCGGTCAACATGGTTGCGCCTTGGATGACAGGTCCGTGTTTCCAAAGAGAAAGAGAAAGCTGCAGTGCTGTAGTTACTTCTCCAAGCGTTACAGCTAATTAACGAATTACAGTAACCCCCGCGATGCCAGATTGGATCAAGGAGAAATGGGGTGAGTTGCCCACGAATGATACTATCGGAGTGGCAAAGGCACTCCTGCTGCCGGCAGTTCGGACCGATACCAACGGCAAGACTTTATGGGTCGCCGGTAACGATATTGTCGAGATAGAGGACGCTCTCCACGAAGCTCAGCCGCAATGGCTTGGAGCCAGGTTGTCGGCAGATGTTGACGAGGGTCAGTTGCGCTTGGGTATCGGCGCTTGAACAAATCGGCTGGAACACTATAGTGTCATCTATAGCCTATAGTCTAGTATAAATTCATCAGAATTTGTGTCAAATATCTGTCAGACGGACCGATGCTATATTTTGGGATCACTATGAGACGCCTGGAACAGCTTCAAGACCGGCTGCTAGGAATCCGGTCTGGACTACGGTCTCGGACCACCGGCAGGTGGGTCTTCCGGCCTAAGACGTCCGGACGTCCGGATCTCGGCCCCGGAGGCCGCCGGAGGCTGCCCTCATCCTCATCTATAAGACCGATCCTAGCCCCCTATTAGATAGAAAGAAATCAAGATCATCCATCGTCATCAAGCTGTCTCAACCAATCCATCTTGTCTGATAATATCTGGGTCTATATTCGGCGGTGTGTTAGTAACTAACCAACAAACAGTTCAAGACTGTCAACTTGGTAGTTCAAAAAATGCCATTCAGGCCGTCTATGTACTCGCTACAAATATCCCAGTGGCAAGAAAGGCTCTGAATCAAATTCAGCTACTACTATTGCATTTGCTAAGACGTTAGCAGCGAACCAGTCTAGGGCGTGCTGTCTAAAAAGTCCATTTTTCCTTATGTGGCGCATCTTCCGCCTCGGTCTTGAAATCAGTTGGAAAAGATCGAAGCTACTCATCAGAAATTTTGTTACCGCTTACTGTTCAACTTACGGTTACGTTTGCGGTCACTGTCACAAGAGTAAATGGTGGAAGCCGTCTGTAACCAAATGGGATTCACTGGTGTATCTCAACTACATAGTCGAGTAGATTTCAAAAGCCGAGATTCTCTCAACGCTCCCTTCAACCTAGACCCCGTTGGGGGCTTCAAACATGTCCTCTACTTGTTCATTCATCATGGTTGCCAATTTAAGATGGATGGCAGGGTCGTTGTTGAGCGCATCGAAAAATGCTTGTCGATCGGCGACAATCTGTGGATCGGTAGAGTGCAATCGCAGCTTAAGATCAGTGGATGCCTTGTTGGTGTAGTTGACCCATGCAGCCCGTCGCACACTCTCATAGCGACTGAATAGCTCATCCGGCTTCTCGCCGTGGCGGATGATCCTGATCAAGCAGTTTCCCAGTGCAGCAGCGTCTAAAAATCCTGTGGTGAGCCCAAGCCCGCCGATGGGATTATTCGACTTGGCAAGTTGTCAGCAAGTACCACATCGTCTGGGGATAGCTCTGTCTTACGTGTGCTGCATCGCCTGCAAGAACAACTCGCCCAACGTTCCAGGTCTTTGCAACCCTTTGGTGGGCCCAGTACGGGTTTGCACTGACCAAATCGTACTTGAGGGGACGCGGACCAGGCAGAAGTCGCTCATACTTCTCCTTTAGATGCTCCATAAGATCTCCCATGGGAACATCTGTACGCAGTCCGAAGGCAACACGCCATGGGTCGTCACCGGGGCCCGTTCTAGCAATCACTGCCCAGTCCTCCTCATCGACGATCATGTTGGCGGTTGTGAATCCATACTTCTCAAAATCGTACTTGACGTTGGATGCCACGAAGCGGAAGTCGTTCCACGTGAAGCCCTCAAAGGGAATACAAAGAGAACGACGCACAGAACTGCCCGCTCCGTCTGCGCCGACTAGATAGTCGCAGGTGAAGAACTTCTCGCCCATTGGGCTTGCGGCTACGACCTCGATCGGCTTCATGTCATCCTGCTGTTTGAGCCCGGCGAACCGATGCTGCCACAAGACACGAAACGACTTCTGAGCCTCACAGTGCTTGAGAATCAACTCACCCACAGCTTGTTGGCCAAGATGAATGCCGGTGAAGTCGTACTTCACTGCGCCTTTGGGGATTGCAGCCATCATGAGAGCGCCGAGTACCTCACCGCCTTGGGCATTGGTTTTGCGAAAGCTGACACCTTCTCGATTTGTGTGACCCGCCTTGAGCAGGTCATCGACGAGGCCAACCTTTTCCATTTCGTTCAGGACGATGGGCATATATCTTCTCGTCTCTGGTGGTTAGTAAAATGATTCAAGACATCGTTTTGGGATTTTCTCCTCCCCTGAGTCTGACTCACGTCGTTGCCCTGGCGCTTTTGAGCACATGGGGCTCGCTGTCAATCACAACGACATCGATTCCCTTCTGGGCAAGTTTGAGCGCTGTGAACAGCCCTACAGGCCCTGCGCCAACAATGAGAACTGTGGCATGGTCATATTCGATCTCGTTTTGGGGCGGAACGTCTGCCATGGTGATGTGAAGAGAAGATGGTAATGATCTTTACTAAATGGTTGGTTATCAATCCAAATTCAAGTACTATATTCCATATAAGTAGAAGGAGACATATCATTCCCTCGAATAACTATGTTCGTTAACCCCGTTTAGCCAAGAATGGCCAGGACAATGGGCGTGCGCAGTCCTTAACGTTTCGACCTACCCCCCTCCTCTCTCAATACTTAGACTACCCCACACATCCCAGAAGAGGAAGCAGCTCTGGTGTAAGTAAAGGAATACGTCGGTTTATGCGCAATTAGGCTTGCTGATTGTTTTCGGCGGTTGCAGCACAAGTGCTGCTTTCCTTCGCTATCTATTCCATTTGACTCTTTCGGCACATCTCCGTATGGTCTTTCCAGCAATAGGCCATCTTCAACGTCGCTCCTTATCTATCTGAAAGCGGCCGACTTCGTCTAAAAGGTAGCAACATAATGTGGCGCATAAAGCAAGGACTGTAGGAAGGCGTGAGGGTGTTTCAGTCGTTGCGTAATAGAAAGTCTGACTGTAGAAGAATGCAAGGATTTAGTTTTACAAGTGAAATGCATTAATTCTGGTTCCGCTTGATGCTGTGTTTTTTGCGTGCACATGATGGGTGAGAATGCCTCATTGGTCTTGTATGCTTTGTTATTATCTCTGTTTTATAATGAAGCTGGAAACATGCGATCAGAGTTGGCTGCGCACCATAGGGCATCATGAGCCCCGATCAATTCCACATGGCCTGTTGCTGCCAACTCGCGGAGCTGACCAAGTGCCTGTCTGGCAGCATCAGGGTCATTGTGGATGCAGCATACTGAACCATCTTGACCCTCCCAAAAGGCAATATCGCGTTCACCTGTGAGCAAGCGGCGGTCATGGTATGCATCCCCGCAGAGGCAAGCCCAATTTCCAGCAGACACCCGGCATAACAGATTAATATGGCCAGGTAAGTGCCCCGGGGAATTGAGCACGTAGATCGACCCGTCCCCAAAGAGATCTATAGAGGAGAAGCTCCCCAGAGTATCCCACCTGTAGTCGCTGTGGGCGTCCGAGATGTCAGGGAACTCGACGGTCTGATCTCTGGGCAACAATTCCTTCACAAAATGTTGGTGACTTGAGGTGGATGGAAGGCCGTGCTCGAGTAAGTGAAGCGTTCCTGGGCCTACGAAAAACTTTGCTTTGGGGAAATGCTCTGGATCTCCGTGATGATCATAATGAACGTGGCTCAGGATAACAATGTCGATGTCAGAGGCATCTATCTTCCCCTGCTGAAGGGTTTTTGCCACACCAGGCCCGATCGTGTACGGTTTTCTGTTCTGCAGATGTTGCTGTTGCGGCTCACTGTAGTTTGTGATTGACGAACGGAGGCCGAGGTCAAACATGATACCATGCGGTTTACTGTTTGGCGCCGGATGGAGTATGTGAAACGCCAAGGACGGAACCGTGTGGTAGGCATGCTGGTCGGCTGGCTCAGTAAAGAAACGCTCCAGTAAAGTTATGCTGCCCCCCGAAATGGGTGAAACTGTGACGTACACCTGTTCGTCGGAAGCAGGAGGTAGCATTTTAGACTTGAGGAAGTAAGTACTTTGCAAGGAGAGTGTGTTGAACAGTCGCCGTGAACGGTTTCTCGAGGGCGTGACAGAAAATAAAATGCTGGCCCATGGTTGAGAATATGGCAACTCAAATCTAGCGACAGGTGACAAAATCAAGCTGATTAAGACTGCGGAGACCAAGCGATTTTGGAGAGAAATAGGAAATAATTCCTCCCCTCAAGCCCAAAGCGGGAGTCCCCAGGCCCCCACGGACGATGGGTCAGCAGGTGTAAGGGTGGGGTTGCCAAACGGCCCCCCCAATGTGTATTCTGCTTATAAGCTGCCAGGGGATCTATCATATTGCATTCCAGATGCCACAATTTCACCAACCGTCCTTACAATTCCCTGCAAAAAGGAAACAGAAAAACATGACATCCAAGAAACTCTCCCCCGAAGACTTCCAAAACGCCTTCCACTGGGCAGAGACACAACAGGATGGGGCTATTCCCTCCTTTGCCACCCGCCCCAACGACCCCTACAAGTACCAGGCGGGCTTTGGCAACTCGTTTGAGTCCGAGGCTATACAGGGAGTTCTCCCAAGAGGCCAGAATAGCCCGCGGAACGTGCGCTTCGGGCTGTATGCCGAGCAGATTACGGGCGGCGCCTTTGTGGCGCCTCGAGCTGTGAATAAGAAGGCCTGGCTATATCGGTCGCGGCCAGCAGTTGCCCACCAAGGATTCGTAAGTCAGCCTCATAATGCTTCCTCCACTCGAACGAGTTACTGACCTGGTAACTGCCTGACTAGGTTGACCTGCCCGCCAATCCTGACACCGAGTCGGCTTTCTTGCCGCTCAACCCGCGTGTTCACGTCTCTCCCACTCAGCTGGCCTGGAGACCGCATGCTATTCCCGAGGGCGAGAACGTCGACTTCGTTGCCGGTCTAAAGAGTATCGCTGGCTCGGGTCATCCCTCCCTCCGCGAGGGTTTGGCAACACACATTTACTTGTGCAATGCAAGCATGGATAAGAATGCGTTCGTCAACTCAGATGGCGACTATCTCATCGTTCCCCAGCAGGGTGCTCTAGACATCCAGACGGAATTCGGTTACCTCTACGTTCAACCTGGTGAGATTGCTGTCATTCAGCGCGGCCTCCGCTTCAAGGTTAACGTGGAGGGTCCTACGCGGGGCTATATCCTAGAGATCTGGGGCTCCTCGTGGGAGCTGCCTGAACTAGGCCCTCTTGGAGGCAGCAGTGGTCTGGCAAGCCCGCGGGACTTCTTATTCCCCGTTGCAGCTTATCAGGTCACGGATGACGACCCTTGGGACGTTACCTATAAGCTAAGCGGAAAGTACTTCAAGAGCACCCAGCGCCATTATCCATTTGATGTCATTGCGTGGCATGGCAACTATATCCCCTATAAGTACGACCTAACCAAATTTGCAAACGTTGGTTCTATTTCAATAGATCACATTGACCCTTCAATCTTTTGCGTTCTAACGGCCAAGTCTCGCGATCCGACGGCGCCTTTAGCCGACTTTCTTATCTTTTCACCGCGTTGGGATGTCGCCTCGCATACCTACCGACCGCCGTTTTATCATCGGAATTGTGCGTCAGAGCTTATGGGTTTAATCTATGGAGAGTATGGTGGCCGATCTGATGAATTCCGCCCGGGAAGCATCTCATATGAGTGCGGCTTTGTCCCTCATGGCGTGGCATATGAGGAGTTTGCTGCCGCATCTAAGCAGGATCCACCTATTGTGCAAATCTCAAAGGGTTCTATTGCTTTCATGTTTGAAAGCAGCCGCGCTTTCAGCATCACAGACTGGGCCTGGAACAGCAAAGAGAAACACGAACATAACCCGAAAATGTGGGACGATTTGGTTGATAACTTTTCGAGATTCAAGGATGAAATTGAGAAGCAGACGAACGATGCTTGAGAGCAACCATCAGAGATCTGCAACTAGCTAGCGCTTTAATGAAAGAGAGTGTGTTTATGAGCTTGCCTGGTATAGGGAGAAATTAGCTGTGAGAAATACTACAAACACTCCCCTCAAATTGAATATGCCTCACTAAATGTTTTACCTCTTGATGAAGTAATTTAAACTTGCTGGAATAAGCCACTACCTAGGATTGCATCTGCCGCTATGAGAAATGCATGCGAGAGTTTCACCAGTTGTTTCCCTCGACCAATTGGCTGAAGAGTGACCAAGGTCAAACGAACACTCTACACAACGTCATTGCCGGAAATCATGTGTTCCGCGAAACCGTTCCCTTGGACGTCTCTAACAAGGAGTGGAAGGAAATTTTAGAGACGATGGTCCAGCAGGGCACATGCACCGAGAATGGCGACAGGGAGAAGAAGGCTGTTTTTAGTCGCTTATAAACAACGGATGGGGCTCACTCAAAACACGAGAGCGGTTCATGGATGGACGTATTCAGTTCCAGAAGCAAGTTACTTGTGTGGTCTTGATTCTACAGTACAAATCTGTGACAAGAGCAGAAGCCCCCACTACGACAGCTGATAGAGCAACAAGGGTTTACAGCGCCTCCATTGTGTACATTATAGCGATCTCTACTGTAAATATACACATTCATTTAGCACTTTTATAGATAGATAGCCCACTGGCTGTCAACACACTTAGTTACATTGAACCTACTCTTCTACCATTACCAGACCGTGACCTACGTTGCTCACTCTGACGTCCTGATCCACCAGATCGTATACTACGACGTCCTGGACCTACCTTAAGCCCAGCCGTCACAAGTGGTCGCTACAGCCCGCGGATCCCTCCGCAAAGACGTTGCATTAACGTCCCGGATTGGTAATTATTAAGGGATATCATTTCCTGGGGGCTTTAAAAAGCGTCCGATACACCCATTAGGCTGCTACTTCGACCATCGATCACACGCTTCTCTCGATTCCAAGACCACCCCACTACTACTGTCAAGCGATCCCTGTCTCCGGGGCCTCCGGCGACCAGATCTGGAGGATCCTACAAACTGCTGGATCAGAGTCGACTCCCAGACGACACCTATTTAAGGTGGTCTAGAATCTAGCTTACTAGAACAGCAGAGCAGGACAAGAAAGGTTTCTCATTGATAGTCAATCACTCCTTCTGAGACGTCGAGGATAGCTCTAATAAGAGCCCGTACATCTGATAACCACCGACGACATTTCGAACGTTTTCATCGCACAACTATAAGCTTCCTTCTACCTGCTACTGCAGCCCTCGCCACCGTCGTCTATAGTCCTGCTCAATATACAGGCCCCGTACTCCAGAACCGTCACGTCCAATCCCTCATCGGCCTCCATAGCATTCCAGTTCTTCTCGGTGTTACTATAGGCTTAAACGTGGTGAAGTACGGCAACCGGGCGCTGAATAAATAGGCTACAAATAACTGGCGTGTAGCAGCATATAGTGGCTAGGAATGGGAAAAGAAGGTGGCTATTGTAACAGGTGGATGCAGCGGTATTGGCAGGGAACTTATCTTTAAACTTTATTGAAAGGGGGTTAAGGTTACAATCTTTAATATTATATTATTCCCAGCTAATATAAAGAGTAATTTATTAATTCTCTATATTAAGACAGATATTAGATCTGTAAGTATTATTATTAAGGCTGCTAAGATTATTTAGCAAACTTTTAATAAACTCTCTATTTTAATTAATAATATAAAATTTATAGCTTTTTATATAATTCTTAAAATACTAGCTAAATACCTTTTTAAGATATTTAGTATAAATATAATTACTTTTTAACTTCTTATTAAGAAGTTTATACTGTATATAATTAAGTTAAATAAGAATTATATTATTAGTATTTTAAGTATAATAGTAATATAATATTCTTTTTTATAGTTAATTACTATATATTAAAAGCTATATTATTAATATTTTATAAGAATTTAAATTATAAGCTTAAAATAAAATATAAAGCTAATAAAGTAATTATAATAATTATATAACTTATTTAAGTATATATATTTATATCCTCTAAAAATACAGATTAAATTAAATATAAGTAAAATTTAATATTAAGAATATTAGCTATTATAAATTATACTTTTTAAAAGATTTTTACTTATAAAAATAAATAGACAATTATATTAAAAAGTATATTATTTTTTATTTTATTAACAAAATAACTAAATTAAATATAAAAATTATTAAGAGATATTATAAAAAAGCTAGCTTATTATAAAAATTATTTATTATTATTATTATTATTATTATATATACTATTTTATTTATATTTAAATTTATAGAATTTTTATATATTAAATTAAAAAGAAAAGATTTTTTATTAAAAATAGCTATAAAATAAAAAAGAATTTATAATATTATTTTATTATTTATAATTTATATAAAAACTCTTTAAAAAAATCTATTAATTTTCTATAGTAAAGTAAATAGTATTATTAATAATAAAAATATAAAGTTTATTAAAATTATTAATAAAAAGTTCTATTAAAAATAAAATAGTATAAATAAAAATAAAATATATATATAAAAAGATAGTAATTAGAAGATATTCTATTTTAAATTATAAATTAAAAGAA